AGCAGAACAACGAAAATATCGGGTAGAGATGGGTTTGCTGGTGACCATCATCCAAGTTGTAGTGGTAGTGATGAGAGGATTTTGGTGTTGAGGGGTTGTTGATAAAGAAGAGAGGAAGAAGAAGGTGTCATGGCTTTTGATATTTGATAGGAGTACATGGAGGAGGTGAAAGGTATAAATGGGAAAAGTGATGAAAATTTCCTCATATGCAATGCACATGGGTAGGGCAGTAAACGAACTAAATGTTTGACGAACTGTTCGTGAACCGTTCGGCAGAAAGTTTGTTTATTTAATAAATGAACGAACATGGACACAAATTCTCATTCGTTAAACTAAACGAACAACATGAACAATGGTCTCGTTCGTTCAATTATGTTTGTGAAATTTCGTTTATGTTGTTCGTTTACGTTCGTTTATGTTTGTTCATTTAAGTTCATTTTATTTTCATATATGTTCAATTATGTCTAATTACATTACTATTTTATATGTTTGTTTATGCTCATATATGTTCGACATTGTTTAATTATCTACGTTCGTTTATGTTCGTTTATCATGTTCACAAACATAAACGAACAAACATGAACAAGAAAACTCATTCGTTTATTTGTTCGTGTTCGTTCATTTGTTTGGTTAACTTAAACGAACGAACATGAACAAGTCTTTGTTCGTGTTCGTTCGGTTCGTATACAGCCCCACACATGAGACATGTAATAAAAAGTTTCATAACGACTATTTTAAAGAAAAAATAAAAACCATAATGATCATTTGTAAAATTTTGTCAAAAATATATCTTTTAAATATAAATACTAAATAACTAAATACTAAATAGTATCTGTTTCCTTTCTATCCATTTTACAATCACTATACGCTTTTTTATATCTTTCCTCTCTTTAGATATTTACATATCTAGGGTTTTGGCAAAAGTTGTGTAGTCTCGTCATTATATATTTATATTGCCCTTAAATAAGTAACAGTTTAGTTGATTTATAAACCCATTTATACTGTTTAACTAGTTAAACTCAATTAGCTACATTTATGCTTTTCATTGGGGATTGAAATAAACAATCTAAACAAACAACAAACGACCTCGCACTTTAAGAATGTAAGAGGTCCAGAGTGGCCTCTTTTAGGCATACGAGCTAAACCCAAGTCCGTTAGATCTTTCACGTGTTAGGAATCGGACCGGGTACACGCAGCGGAAACACACTATCACACACACAAACACACGAAGGAAATAAAGCAAGAAGGAACACAAGGATTTTACGTGGTTCGGATTCGGTGTAAATCCTACGTCCACGGGCGCAACTAGATTTTATATTAACTCACTATAAGATTACAAATGGTAATATCACTCAGCACTTTTGTTGTTCTACGCTACATCGCTCTTCTTACAATTCATATATATATATATATATATATATATATATATATATATATATATATATATATATATATATATATATATATATATATATATATAGGAGAGAGCCGTAAGCCTTTTTATTTTGTTTACACAAATTGCCGCTATATTTGACTAGAATATATATATGCCGCAAAGTTTGAAAAAAAAGAATGCGTTGATTTCTTTAGCCGTCCAAAATAGAGCCGCCGTCCACTTCAATATTATTAAACAATTGATAGTGCGTCCAATTCAATATTCAATTGTTTTAATTTACAAGTTTCATTTATGGCCCTTGAACTCTTAGGAACTTTTCAATTTATTCAAGACTCCATAAATCTTAACAATCTCCCACTTGGAGGCTTGAACAACTTTAGCTTTTCTCCGCCATTCAACTCTCAATTACTCAAGTAATCTTAAAAAACAACCAAGTCCTTTTAGGCTTCCAGTTCCAAAGAACAAGCTAAAACTTAGTCTGATTTCTCTAGTTGCAGCCGCCCCTCATCATCAATTACTAGAAGGGCCAGTTGAAGCTCCCACTAGCTCCAACTCAGCCGTGGCTAATCCCGCCACCAACTCATCCTCTGTCTCAACCGGTTTGGACACTCCACCAGATCCAGAGATACACCGAGGACCACTAACACTCTCCCAACTTTGCAAACATTCAACAGGAGAGAATTTTTCAGTCTTAGTCTTTAAAACCCAACGGCTCTTTGTAACTGTACCCGAAACACGTCCCGTGCTCCCACTGTCACAGAATCCCCTGAATGGTTTAGACTTTCGAACTCGTTCAGCTAACATCTCTTTGGCTCCAGAATTCATGTTTGCAAAATGAACTCTCTTAGCCGTAGATTTAGCGAACCAGATTTTGTCTTGTTTAACAGGGACGGTCATACTTCCCTCAGCAGGTACCTCAACCATATACAATGACCCACGCTTCAAACCTTGAGCAATCACCGAATTACCATTGACCACCATCCATTTACCACCACCAAACCTTACTTCCAGTCCTTGTTTATCCAGCTGACCAACAGAAATCAATTTCTTTTTCAGCTCCGGAATCACCTTGACATTTTTCAGGTTCCATGTAGTTCCCAATGAAGTAACCAGATCAATATCTCCCATGCCCGTTACTTGAAGCATCTCGTCATTTGCTAACCGTACCTTTCCAAAATCTCCTTCTTTTAGATTCACCATCGTTTCCCCGTTGTCCATGGCGTGAAACGAAGCCCCTGAATCCATGACCCAAGAGTCTACAGAACTTTCCATACTGAGTATCAATGCATCATCCTCAGACACACTCTCAGCACCGGTAATGTTCAATTCTTTCTTTGGACATTGACTCTTAACATGTCCCACCTCCTGGCAGTTCCAGCACTTCACATTCTTCTTAGTTCTAGATGAACTTCTTCCCCGACTCCCACTGCTTCCACTATTCCTGCTATTCCCTCTCCCTCTTCCGATATTTAATAACTCAGAAGAAGAAGATCCACCTTGATTCTTACGTCTGATATCTTCGCCAAGAACCAAATCTCTAACCCCTTCAAAAGTCATACCACTGGTCCCCACGGAACTCGTAACAGCAGTAACTGTTCCGGACCAGCTATCAGGTAGAGAAGCTAGTAGCAGTGATGCTTGAGTCTCGTTATCAAATTTAATTCCCACAGATGATAATCTGGACAAAATTGAATTTAGATTGTTAATGTGAACCGTAACTGAGCCTTCCTCATTCATCCTTGTAGTGAACAACTCCTTCATCAAGAACACCTTGTTAGCCGCCGATGGTTTCTCATACATATTTGACAGAGCCTCCATCATACCACGTGCCGTGGTTTCATTCATGATGTTGAAAGCAACGCTCTTCGTCAACGACAATGTAATAACCGCCTTGGCTTTCTTGTCCTTTGAGTTCCACGCATCTTCAGCAGCTTTTTCCATTTTCTCCGGTTTGTCTCCGAGTACCATGTCCAAGTCTTTCTGACATAGCAATGCTTCTAATTGCATTTTCCACCAGCTAAAATCAGAACCATTGAACCTTTCGATTATAATCTTGTCTTCAGCCATTACGACAAACAAGATACAAATCAGGTACACTCGTGCGTGATAAAAAAAACGATCGTACCCTCCAAAACCTCGCTAACCAGGCTCTGATACCAGTTGTTAGGAATCGGACCGGGTACACGCAGCGGAAACACACTATCACACACACAAACACACGAAGGAAATAAAGCAAGAAGGAACACAAGGATTTTACGTGGTTCGAATTCGGTGTAAATCCTACGTCCACGGGCGCAACTAGATTTTATATTAACTCACTATAAGATTACAAATGGTAATATCACTCAGCACTTTTGTTGTTCTACGCTACATCGCTCTTCTTACAATTCATATATATATATATATATATATATATATATATATATATATATATATATATATATATATAGGAGAGAGCCGTAAGCCTTTTTCTTTTGTTTACACAAATTGCCGCTATATTTGACTAGAATATATATATGCCGCAAAGTTTGAAAAAAAAAGAATGCGTTGATTTCTTTAGCCGTCCAAAATAGAGCCGCCGTCCACTTCAATATTATTAAACAATTGATAGTGCGTCCAATTCAATATTCAATTGTTTTAATTTACAAGTTTCATTTATGGCCCTTGAACTCTTAGGAACTTGTCAATTTATTCAAGACTTCATAAATCTTAACATCACGAGCAGAGCTTTAACTTAAAAAATAAGGCTTAAAACAAGTTGATGTCAGTGCTCGTGCAGTCGTGCCCTAAAAATTTAAATAGTCTGATCTGCAGAGTTAATTGTTAGGGTAGCACAACCCCACCTCTACTAGTTTACAAACACTAGATGTATTAGAGTAAATGTTTTATTTTCTGAGAAATACACACACACACACACACACACACACATATATATATATATATATATATATATATATATATAATTTTAAGTACAGCATTTCTATATTCTATAAGAGGCAAAGGGGGAATTCCAAAGACACCATGGTTGAAAACCATTTACAACTAGTGAAGGAACCCCCGCATTGCGCGGGGGTCAGATGTTGTTACTTTAAGTTTTTGAATGGAAACAGTGACGTATGAATTTTGTTTGCTACTTTATCTTTACATTTTATTGTTAACATTTGTCATATGATGCATGATAAAAGGTTAAATAAAAGCCATTTACTAAAATAAGAATGTAAGTTTCAGTATGTGAAGACAAATGCCGTTTTTTTTCGTTTTTTTTGTGTTGTTCGATTAATATTCTATTTCAAAGCACGAACGACTATGGATATTATGTAAGTTGTCAAACATGTTTTATAGTAAATGAATGTTATCTGTCACATGTGCTAATGGATGTTTGGAATGGAAATGGGTAAGCAAAGTAGATAGTGTCATGACATTTTGTGATATACATTCTAACATTCATATACATATAATCAAAAGCGACAATATTGTTTGTAGTCTTTGTTACTCATATTGTTCGTAGGACTAAAAGCATTTCGCATGAAAATTAGCCGTTCAACAGTAGCAAAAAAGAATGGACTTTTGTATTAGTGCTTTCGGATGATGTTGGAATTCATAGTCACTGTTGCCCTCGTTTTTGATGTTTTATAGATCGGGATTTGTCTGTATAGTAAGGAAATCATGTTAGAAGCAATTTCGTATTATTGGTAAGGGAAAACATGTGTAAGTACCTGAGGTTTCGAATGATAAAGCTTTCGACACATTAGATGATTCTGAAGGTGGTGATGAAGTTCGTATGTTGTGGGTAGGTTCAGAGGACTTGTTGTCTGTAGTAGCCATTGGGGTTGTTGGAATTGCTTGTTGAGTGAGGGTGTTGATGTTTCCTATGTCTACAATCACGTATCGGATGTTTTCTGCATTTGAGGTTTTCAACATTTGAATTGACAATGCCTTTAATAACCCTTTGCACTCTTCGATGATGGACGGTATAATTCCTCTACTGATTTGGGTGTTATTGGACATCAACTTTTCTGAGGTAATTCCAATCAATCTCTGGGTTGCACTGTCAGATATAGATGCAGTAATGGAGCCAGTTGGGTCGGTTACTGTTGCGGTAAACCTATACCTGTATTCATATATGGTGTATCATTGTATAGCAGATGTGAATATTTTATGTATTCAGAAGTAGTAACACGTACAGGAATATTGGTGCTTCAGTTAATCCATGGGCAATGCAGAACCAATCCTTTGCTTTTTTAAATATTGGGTCTCTGCACTGGGGGCATATCACTTGGCACCAGTTGTCCTTGAAGGCAAAGTCCACCAGTGACGCTTTTCACAGTGAAGGTTTTATCCTATAGTTGTTATAGGTTGGATATACATAATGTTCTGAAAGAGCAATTCTGTAACATAACAAAGTTATATCTTATACCTAAAGTTGTGTATGTGTTTTAGTAATGAGCTCACACAATGTTGTTGGTATTCCAGTTGCCATAAAAGGTGGTCTTGAAGGGCCACTGAACCTGTTAATAAGTTTAACATATAGGAGTATACTGTTTGTAGGTATTAATCTCAATTTTTTCTGTAAAATGTTGTGTACCTGTTGGTTACTAGTGTTGCTTCTGGAATAGGTGGATTAACATACACATGTGTAGCAGTTGACGATCCAAACCTAAGTATTCCTGGAGGAAATGCAAAACAACTGTTAGAATATGTATAAGTAGATCTAACAGTTTAAACATAGATATAAATTTTTGTAATATTTAGTTAATTTTGAGAGTATTACCATCGTTTGATGAGGTCCTCAAATTTGTAACAGCAAAAATTGTTGTTGCAGGAGGCGGCATTAGTTGCTGACGATTAAATTTCTCGGGGACGTCGATACATTCTTTCCACAAGTTTACTGCTAACTCACTTCCACTGGTTTTAATGTATAGGTAACAAATTAGTAATCTGTCAGAATGAGGGTAAAAAAGGATAAATGTAATGGTATTTTATATACCCTTCATCGGTAAGTACTATAAGGACAAAGGACTCCCCATTGCGTTTCTTGCAATCTCTCACTTTTGTAAGGATACCAATAAAATCTATTGCATGGTAAACAGTGAAGGCATTGATAATTTGTAAGTACATAACAAACATTTTTCTATAAATATGTGCACTGTAGTGATGAGTAAAACACATATGTTAATGGTATAGATGGTTATATTGCAATTTCATTTCCTTTGTAACAGTAAGTGTGTGTAGCTGGACAGAATGGTGGATTTTCACCAAATTCCATAAGCTGGGTTTTTGAAACAAACCTAAACCAAGCTGAAGGAATTGTAATTGTATCTGGAATAGGTTGGATAACAGAAGCAATACCAACGTCCATGTAGATATCGTTTTCTAAAACCTTTTGGTAATCATCTAATCGTGGACAAGTATATTCTGATATCGTGTAGAAATTGGAAAGATTAAGAACAGACTCTATATAGCCTTGATTTGTCCTTTGTCCCAAGATCTGTATAGCATCTCCCTGGCATATTTTAAATAAAAGAATGTGAATAATTGACAATGAAGACATTGTTATAGTAACAGTTTACTGTATGTATACTTACAAACTTGTCTACAACAATGAACCATGTTTCGTGGCGTCGGGTACTGTGGCTTCCACCTACGCAATATCCGTACCTGTATAGCATCGCCTGCACATGCGTACTTCAACTCTGATATGGAAGTCATGATTTAGAACTGTCTCTTTCAATAATATCACAACAATAGTTGTCAGTATGTGCATATTATCAGTGTGATGTAACATATATTGGAAGAGAAAGCATGTTTAAGCAATGTCATATAAGAAGGATAAATAGTTGTTTAATGTTGTTAGTACAACCTCATTGATATTCACCATGTGCAACAAATCTTTAAAAACAACATTTTTGGTTTTATTGTGCAAGCACTGTTGATTCAACTCTATAAGAACTCTAAGGGCGGCGGGAGATGTTGCTCTAGATAACGCTACGTAAACCTGACCATGTGTAAAAACGGGTTGAGGCAAGTAAATTCCGATTTTTTTCAAAGACTGCCCTTGACTTTTGTTTATGGTCATATCATAACACACCTTGACAGGGAACTGCTTTCGTGAGAATGAAAAGGGTAGATCTGTTGGGTTATGGATAAATTTTATCCGAGGTATGTACACTCGTCTCCCGATACATGTTCCCGTGATTATTGTTGCCTCAATTACAGTAGGAAGTAACTGAGAAACAATTAAGTGTGTGCCATTACATAAACCCTCTCGCTGGTTGATGTTTCTTAATAACATTATGGGACTATTCACTTTTAATTTGAGCGTATGAGGTGGTAGCCCTGCAAAATTTAATTCATTTAAATATTCAATTGGATATAACCCCTCTAGTTCTGATGTATTCTTGCCGTTGGATTGCATGGCGTCCGTACTTCTATAAAGCCTTTCGTTACCGTTAGCCATTTCTATAATTAGGTTGTCAACCTTATCAGCGGCTTCATTAGTTGGACAAACTATTGCTCTAACAGAGAGATCAGAAGGTGATGGGGTGTGCAACATTTCGTTTTCATACACAAAATGTATTAAAAGTTACAGTGAGTTTTGTCCAGGAGGTATTAAAAGTGAGTCTGGTATATGTACCCAACTTGAGGTTTGTGGATCATTTACATATGTGTCCCCTAACTCTCCATTACCAACCGCTAAAATCCAATCTGCAAAGCCTTGCATCGACAACCCATCAATTAGATCAATATTAGAAGTAAATAATCTCATATTATGATGTAGTCTAACAACGTGAAAATGCGGCCACAAATATGAATTTGGTAAGCTCAAACGAACAATCTCAGCTCGTGTACTTTTTGATGCTATTCCAGACGCAGCAACAGCCAGGACAACCTTTCCAACCGATCTGAAGTACGAAAGCAATGTCGTCCACAAAAAAGTCTTTCCAGTTCCACCGTGTCCATAGACAAAAAGCAACAGTTGTTTCTTTTGCAATTCCGAACTGATAACAGTGTCATAAACAGTTAGCTGGTCATTATTGAGTTGTTGAACCATATCAGTATGTTGTCTAGTCGAGGCTTTCCTGTCATAACTTATTTCTTCTAAAAGCAGGCGATTTTGCAAAACAGCAAGACCAGCAGCAGACGGCAAGGGTAGGTTGAAATCAGCCAAAGATTTACAAGGTGTAGAAGACTGCAACGTATTTTGTAAATCAAAAAGCAAGTGCTGCTGCAGTATATCATCATTAATGTGAAAGCGTTCATCCGAAAGTCCAAACTTCAGCTTGTGTACATAATCATCCGTCATTTTTCGCCACCCTATTTCCCATAAAGACCGAGGAGTGTTAACTTCACAAAATAATAACAGGTGACAGAAAAGAGATCTTAATTGGGAAGACGTAGCCCAAAGAGAAGCTTCGGTAAAGGCGGTCATCCACTCCACATCATCGCCTATTAATCCTAGAGCATTGCATGCACTTCGGAATGTTGGATGAACATGACCGCGAACTGTACGGACATTTTCATAAGAAGTGCATCCTTTTTGATGGCTAAGTAACATACGAAAGTAAAATAACTCACCGGAAGACGGATGAACAAATACAAGACGACCAAGTGTTTTTGAAGACTCTAAAACCCTGCGTCCCCATACTTTAGATGTCTTGTCCCACTTATAGTTGTTTGGATAATCGATATAAGTAAGATCACGACCTTTTGGATCTGCTACATTATTATCAAACCATCCCATAAGTGGTGTCTTAGCAAAACCTGGATTTGCAAGAACTTGATCTAATCTGCTGTCTTCTCTAAACAGTACATGCTGCATGTGCTCCAAATGAACAGGTAACACCTGTACTGGCGAGTGGCGACGATGAATGAAAAAATTCAGAATTCTCCATGCAGCCTCATGGGGACAAATGTATCGGCCATCGAGAAAGTTTTGTATTTCATTTAAAGGCGGAACTTTGTCACCTAAATCAGGGGAATCGGGCGATTCAGATTTCCGGATGACAAATCTAACACGTTCAACACCTTTGGAGATATACTTAAACAAATACTTAATCATCATGTTCCATCCACAATACTCTACATTTATATGGTGAGCAAACCGAGAACATAACCTTCTATTATAGGGAACAACGTATCCATTGTCAACAACAACTCCATTTTGCATCGTATGACGCATAACAAAATTTCTTTTGTAATGCGCGTAACCATCTTTATCAAAAAGTGTGACCTCATGGAAAGGTTTGGGGAAATGCTTGGAACAATTACCGTCTTTCATACATGGAGCCTGCCTATTTAGTAATCCACAAGGACCATGAATCATAGTACTCGTGACTATCTGATAAAGAAGTGGGTCAAGCGTTGGATCAGGAAGCTCTGCAGATATGTATTTATCAATATCAGAAGCATCTTTAATCCTATCAGGCTTCGCGACCCACAATAAAGTATGACAATGTGGTAGACCTCTTTTCTGGAACTCTATGGTATACATGTCTGCATATTAAAGAAAAAATATGACATATTAGTATAAAATATAGACAGGAACAGAAATAAATCTAACATATATGAGAACAATACATACATGCTGCAACGTCACCAAAAGTTTTATCGTCCTTCAGAAAGTTGATGAAAGCGCCCACTTTAATTTCAAAGACCCTAGCTATAATATCAGCCCTACTATGAGTATCTCGCTGGCCATGATCATCCATATAGCGACGTATTTCGGGCCACTTGACATTACACGTAAATGTAATAAAGTATTGTGGATTCCCAAAAACTCTACAAATCGATAATGCATCCTGATAATGGCTATACATATAGCGCGGACCACCAACAAATGATGCAGGTAAGAACATACGTTTCCCCACATGACGGCTCTCTCTATCTCCTTTGGAAAGCGCATCATAAAGACCACTAACATAATCACAACGCAACTGGTTCTGATGATTTATATAGTAATTCAAACGATCTTGTTCGATACATGTATAAGCATCGACAAGATACTGTTGGAAAAGACGACATGAATTCAATACAAGGGAATATATGTCACGACGGGCATGAATCTGACAGCTATAATACATGTTAACAGTTAAAGCCCGTGTAACGGTACCTGTTATATCACGTAATTTCAAGCGCGGAGACCAACCTTCCTCTCCAAAGGGAAAAAGTAACGGGTATTGTAAAGGCATATAGCTTGGATGGAGTTTGCTAATTCGTTGAGGCTGGCCTGACCGGGAATGGATTATAATATCAAACTTACCACAATTAACATCATCACCGGTGACTATACATCCTAAACTACCGGGAGCCGGCAATCCATATCTTCGATCAGGTATATTACTATACAAACGAACCGCATAAGACTCTAAATTCATAGCCATAGCAACCTCTTTTGCCATTTTGAAGGTAAGAACATATTCATTATGGGCAGTTAACGTGTCCATCAAGACCTGAACAATAGCAACATCTAATTCACTTTTCTTAGGAGAAGTAAACGCCTTTAACCTATTACAAACTTCATTCTCAGTATCAAAAATATACAACTGTAAGAACCTAGGAGCATTAGTGTCCTGTGGATACATTGAACCTATGCGATGGTAAATCTGACCCGATATCTTAAACACATAAGGACCACGGCCATTATTAATATCGTCATCAACATTAGCTCCAAAGGAAGTCATCGAAAACATGCTATTATATGCCCTGATATCACCCAAAAAACGTGCAGTCATATAAAGTTCAAGAATTTGGGGAGGAGGTCGGTTAGGATAAGATAGGACAACTGAGCCCGACTTACAACACTGATTATACCTTGGATGGTTAACACGAGATAGATTAAGTATCCTCTCCACATGCCAAAATAAAGCCCCACAGAATTCACACACACAAACACAATCCCCACAGTCATAATAAACAGGAAGAACAGAAGGGTTTGTAGCAATAAGCGGCTGCAAACGACGTGATTTATACACAAATGTTCCAGAAGAAGAGGAAACGTCGTCAGCCAATTTTCGCTTGGAAGCTTTAGTCATAATGAAAGGTTTTAAAAAAGGCGAAACATAAATTAAACATAGGCGAAAATAAAGCAACCAAAAATTGCACACACATACGTAAAATTGAAAGGCGTAGACCGGGAAGAAGAAACAAAGCCTAAACAACAAAGGGCATAAGAAACAAATTAAAAAAGAAAAAAAGGAAATATACCAGTAAGCAAAGGAATTCGGTAGAAGAACAATAGAGACGGAAGAGAAGGCAAGAAAGAAGGAAGGTCAGCGAATGGTCAAAAGGCAGGACAACAACACACGTGTGAAGGACAGCACATCAGCACAGGCAAATAGGGGTTACAGCAAAAAAAAAGGAAAAAAGAAAAGATAATGGGCAAACATAAAATGCGGAACAAATGAAAAGTAGACATTGGAATTAACAAAAAAATGGTCATCCGTAATTGAAAGAAAATACTGTTGATCCAGATACTTAGAATTACTATGTATATATAATGGTCAAAACCACCAGCAATCAAATCAAATAAAAAAATATAAAAAATGCAATAGTCATCCATCCTGACGTCAACTTTTCTATTCATTTTGACACAATTAAATATTTTTTATTTTATTTTTGATTTAGATTAAATAACTTCTATATCAATGTTTATACCCGTAATAAAATAATTGCAATTTTAGTTTTAATAATTATTACAAGTATTTTCCTCTCTATTTTTTTATGTCATAATCTTAAAAAAAAAATTGTATGGTATTTTCTGTTATGGTCATACTATTTGTATGATTTTTTTTTATCATGGTAGTAATATTTTTTATTATTAATATTTGGCTATGTATTTTTTTTGAAAGAGTATTTTGCTATGTATTTATGTCATGGTCTTATTATTTGCATGATATTTTCAAGACTTTTAAAATTACACTATTTAAACTGTTTATATTATTATTATGATTCGAAACTTCTAAAAAACACTTTTAAGTATTTTAAATTTTTGATAGAAAAACTTCATATTCATTTACTAACTTAGATAAGAACCGAAATGTCTTTGTCTTTAGCAACAGCAAATAACATGGGATAACACATACTATTTTCTATTTTTTCTTTTATTTTTTTTTGATGTTTTTAATCTATATTATTCTAATTTGTTTTATGTTTTTTTATTTACTTCATATATTTCTAATTTGTTTTATTTTTTTTATTTATGTCAAAAACATATAAATTAATAAAACATAATTTCATTAACTAGTAAATTAAAAATACCATACTAACTTAAAAAAAGCCATTACAAAGCAAAAAAAAAAAAAAAAAAAACATTGAACAAAAAACACACGATAGTCCTAATAATTAAAAAAAAACACCGACAAACATTATTCATCCAAGTATTTGCTCTCGATCTTTGCCTTCATCCTCCGTATCACTTCAGCTCGTCTCGGTGGCAAATTTTCTTCGTTTGTCGTAAGAATTGTCAAATCATTCGATATGCGATCTTCTTCGGCTTCTTGACGAAGGAAATCCAAATGCTCCCGTTGCAATTCATATATTTTATTTGCGATTTCCGTGTGGGCGTCGAATTTTTTTTTCATTTCCTCGTGCTCTCGAAGCCGACTTTCATTCTCCTGCGCATGTCGTTGCGCGCGCTTCGCTTTGTCGCGCCCCATCGTTTGTCGTGGCGGAGAGATTTCCTTGATGTCGTCAAACTCGTTCGGGATCTCATCGGTGTCCGCGTTGAGGTCGATGTTTGTGTGTCCGTCGGAAACGTCAACCGAACCCGAACCACGAGACCTCTTTGATTGTTGTTCCGATGATGTTGTTGTTTTTATCCATTTTGGATCTTTCCTCACTATCTCCCATACTTTTTCATACTCAAATATGTGACCCATTTGCACGTGATATTCCTCCCTCGCCGCTCTAAACACATCGAAATCATTGGCACCACTTTGAAGTTGTGAAGAAAGTTTGTTGTATATGAAATTGAATTTGGTGCACTTCCGGCTAATTTGAGTCCATTTGCCACTAAGCATATCATTATTGCGATATGTGTCACCCTTGTTCAAAATTGTGCGGAATTTTACAATTATGGCATCCCAAAAAGCAACTTTCTTCATATCGTTCCCCAAACTTGGTTGTTTTGAAGTACCGCACCAAGCCACCGCCAACGTATGCTCTTCCTCCGGTGTCCACCATGTTGGAGGTGCTTCCGTTTCTTCCGCCCCGACCACGACCTCTTTCCCTTTCTTTTTTGATCTCCCTTTTTTCCCGATGCTTTCCGACTACCCGACTTGCGTCTCAATAACCGTTTCTTGCGTGGGTGGGGGTTGTGTGGTTGTTTGTCGTATAAAAGGCGATGTAGAGAATTGTAGTGGGGGTGAGGCGAGATTGAAAAAATTGACGTTATATGGATTTGTGGTGAGTTTTGCGAGTTGAGGAGGTTTATGTAGCCCTCGTATGCCGCAAAACCTATTGGAGTGGATGTGTTTGTGTTTGGAGGAGGAGTATTCGGGTTTTGATCTATAGTTGGTTGATTTTTGTGTTTGTGTTTTGAGTGATTTAGTAAATAGATATAGAGAAATATATGTGTAGTAAAAAGAATGAAGCATATATAATATATGTAACGAAAATGTTATTACTAAGTTTTTTTTTATTAAAGTTACCGTTTTTAAACGGTTGAATTTTGAAATTGTACCGTTTTTAAACGGTTTAATTTTGCAACGTTCGAATTCATCCGCGTTACGATACGTTACCACAATAGCGAGATATAACACAACATGTAATAACGGGAGGGTGGGGCGGTGTTCGCTCGTTATGGCGCTGCCACATCGGATAACGCAATACGGGCGTTGCCCACACCCGTCCCTATTAATAAGTATACCTGTCATGCATTAATTTTTTGATTTTAGATAACTGTTGTAAATTGTTTAAAGCAACACAAACGAACATATTTTTATTGTTTTATCTTCTAATTTACGTTTTTATCAAATATAGTAGTTATTTAGAAATAAATAAGGAGGATAATAGTTAGAACGTTATATATATAAATTTACCCCTGATCCTATTTTTATTCATATCACCTGTGCTTCTTTTTCATTTAATTCTTATTTTTTCTTCTCAATAATTCAATATATACATATCAATATTTACTGGGTATTCTAAAATTTTAAATTAATTAAAGAAAATGGGAGCATTACAAAGAAAAGCACGTGACTAATAGGGACAAGGTTGGAAGGGGAGATGTCCTTTCAATTTGGGTTTTAAAATTTTAATTAATTTATAGGTGGTTTTGACTTTACAAAAATGGTTTTTGACTATATAAATCGAGGCAAAGCCTAGTGAAGTAAGTAGTTTTAATCTAGTGCTTAATATATTTATTGCATTATTGATAGTGCTGCATACTTGAGAAATTTTTAACTTCCCCTGTAACCACAAAGCTTAAAAGTGAAATTGAAAAGCCAAATATCCTTTTGAACTTGTTAAACCTCTAAAACCGAGCTAGGAAACCGAGTTATAACCAATGTTCTAAATAACGTAAGGCGTGACTTGGCGGTAATGTCAAGCCTCGAGTTTTTCCGAGCCTTGGCGAGTCACGTCGTTTGTAAGGCGTGATTTAAGGCGGCAAATTTGTATATAATTCATATTTTTATATGTATTTTCTACTATTATTCATTTTTATACACATATATAAGTCAAGACGGCGTTTTGGTAAAGTTTGACGGCACATACAAGCCTTGGAGTCATGGCGCGCCATGGCGGGGCGGAGCCATGGCGATCTTTTTAGAACCTTGTTTATAACACACAGGTACTGTATAGCGATTGTGAGAGCAAGAAAAAAGATGAAATGATGAAAACAATGACATATATAAAGATCTTAATTAAACAAGAACATACTGTAAAGTGAAACACAGATATATTATTTCAATTCATTTTACTTGATAGAGAAGATCATATAAAAAACGATAATACACACTTCAATCGTGAAAAACAATAGCTCATACTGTTGATAGGCTAAAGACGGCATGTTGCATTCATGCGAAAGCATTGACCGAAAACCCCCCATCAATAGCTATGGTTTGCCCAGTGATGTAAGAAGCACCAGGCAGGCAAAGGAAGGCCACGAGAGAGGAAACTTCATTGGCTTCCGCAAGGCGTTTCAGAGGAGTTCTAGATGCCACAGCATCCTCAAACTCCTTAGGACCAACAAGCTGCATATACTAAACAAAGGAACAACGGGATTATTAGTCACTAAAGAAAAAAAGAACCGAAGATGAAGAAGTTAATTATAATATTAGTATATTACCTGTTCAACAAGGGAGGTTTTAGTGAACCATGGTGCTACACAATTTGTCCGAATCTTGTCTGTTGCCCATTCACATGCTAAATTTTTTGTAAGCTGATTTATTGCACCTGATGTAAAACACACATTAAATCTCACCCTTTTTTCCTCAGATTCGCGCCAAAGCAACCATACCTTTGGTGGCACTGTAAATAGACCCAACGGAAGCGTGGACCAACCCTGCAACAGATGAAATGAATACAATATTTCCAACTCCAGAAGCCTTTAAAAGAGGATGAGCAAGTTGCGACATATGGTAACAAGATTCCAAATTGGTAGACATGAGAAAGGAATACTCTTCTGCTGTATAATCTAAAGTAGGCTTCACGATATTCGTCCCGACATTGTTTATCTGCAGGAAAAAAGCTCGATGGAAGTGAATAATCTGATAAATTCGCAAAAATTCTGAAAGAAGAAGACAAGAGTTTAGGGTAACAAATGGAAGAACTTACAAGGATGTTGAGTTTGCCACCAAAAAGTGAGGAAACTTTTTCCACAAACTGCTCCCGTTGGGGACGAGAAGATAAGTCGCAGACGGATCCAGTGACGGTGAAGCCCTTGCTGGACCATTCTTGTAAGCGTTCATTAAGTTCAGACTCGTTACGTGAGCAGGTGTGCACTTCTGCCCCTAACGCCGCCAGTTCCTCCACCACAGCGTAGCCGATTCCACGTGTACCTCCGGTGACCAAAGCAGTCATTCCGGCTAGTGACCATCTTGAATTTCCAATAAGACCAGAAAAGTTTCCGGCAGCCGTGGAAGTCATGCTCCGAGTATGTTGATTATTATATCTTCGATATCAATTTTGGTTCTTAAGCCGTAAAGCATTGGTCCTTTATATATCGCTCTTTCTCATTTTTTTTTGCTTTTAATATCTTCTTTCTTCAATAAGCATGTGACCTTATATACAACGATATTGATTTATTCGTGGCCAACCTCCAAAAAAAAAAAAAGATAGAGACGCTTTTACCAAAAATTTCTCATTCCCTAATGCAATTACAAAAAATTTAAACAGTAAATGAAATATTGAAAATAAGTAACTAGTGATGCTGTCATTTAACCATGATCCTAACTAAAGAAAAGATGCAACCGTATTAAAGGATAGCGGGGAGTTAAAATCCATGCAAATGCGACAAATGATCTAATGACCATCACAAACAATGTTGCAAAATGTTTGTCCATTTACTGCATCGTATCTTTAATAGATACTGCAACGAAGGCTGCAACGAAGGCGGTCAGGTACATGACAAGACTCGTATCAACTCATTCGCCCGCCTTTAAATTGGACCCCATCCTCGGGGACGAGGCTCGATCAGTTAGTTTGGAGAGTAATAAAAATGGAATTTTTTTGGTCAAATGATGAGACAACTGTGAGCTTACACAAAATTTATTTGTAAGTATTTGTCGGTTGTGGTACATAACATTCATCCCCGATTTTAGTGTAATCCGTAATTAACTAAAAGCAAACACAAAACCAAACTCATGCATTAATGAAAATATCTTGAAGCTTGAATTTTTACATCAGTATAATATCATGTCAGATACTCAAGAATCACAAGAATCAGGTTGTCCTAATGATTGAACCCTTCAACCCATTTGAATAATGAAGATACTATACACATAAGTTAAACACAATATCTAATGTTTCATACTTGACACTATTACAAACATGTGTCCCTATCCATTCATGAGTGCATAAAAGCTTAGCCCAAACTTTCAGAAGCGACAACTCACACTCATATAGATAATCCTTCAATATTCTGCAGTTATTAATGCACCTTTTCAAAAGAACTATTAAGAACTTAATCAACCTACTTTAACTCTACATGTTATAAACACATACTTTGGGATGTAGTGACCAAAATGTGCTCTAATCTCCATAAGTAATCTTTCCACATTGAATTCTACTTCTAACATTATATTAAAATGGAATTGGGTATCTCACCCATAGAGATATTAATTGGGCCTTAAACCCATCCCTATAACAAACTTCCTTACCGAGTATCTAGCCAACCCCTTCGTTAAATGATCAACTAAATTTTGTTGAGATCGAACAAACTCTACATAAATGATACTATGAGTAATGAGCTGAAGTACCATATTGTGCTTAATACCCAAATGTTGTGGCATTCCATTATAAACTTGATTGTATGCTTTTTCCAAGGTGGCAGCACTATCACATTGCATTATGATTGGTGATATAGGCTTTGGCTTCAAAGGAATTTCATAGATTAAATTCCTTAACCATTCTGCTTCTTTTCCAGTGTTACACCCCAAAACCGGAACGGCGGAAACGTTCTGGGGTGGAGGACGTCATGTTTAGTATCACAAGATATGCATTATAGTAAGCAAAGTAATGAACAACCATTTCATTAGAAAGAAAGTGTTTACAAGGTGTGTGTTCACAAAACATGGAATACATAAACAAATAGCAAACAAGACTTGAAGCTATACTGCTCCATCTTCTGAATTCCCAGCATGAGTACCTGTCTACTAGGCTCCTGAGAATACAAGTTATTTGAAAGAGTTGATCAGCAATTAAGCTGGTGAGTTCATAAGATTTTAGTGATGTAAGTAAGTTGTAGAAAGTTGTTGGAAAATGTAGTAAGTTGTAAGTTCTGTTTAGAAAAGTTCGCCTGTTCCTCTTAGAAAATCCTATATTTTCTACTTTGATGAAAGATACGTAAAAATGAATCCGCAATCCTTTCTATGAGTACTAAATGGATACAAGTGATATAAAACTCAGAGTAAACAAACAATCGATTGTGCGCATCAGCCCTAAGGCGGAAGGCACACATCCCATTGTTTGTTTGATCATTGTGGTATATAACTCTGGTGTATTCACTCGTTACTCATGGAGTTAATTGTAATGGTTCCTTTATATTTAATGAAAAGATTCTTTAAGAAAATCCTTATTTCTTATAATAAAATGGTGACCACAGTGATTACTTCTATAATCTCTTAGTTTATACTAACTATATATGATCTAATATCGGATAGAAAGTTAATTGGGTGAATCTGCCCTAAGCCCACAACCAAACAAGGAACAAGAAGTAAGGCGGAAAGCACACATCCAACTACCTATTGGGTATTAATGATATATAACTGTGATATGTAAACTAAAGCATTATAGAGTTAATCACCTAAGGTCCTTTAAGTTTATCCTGGTTTAATAAAATGGATTAAACCCTTAACTGGTAAGTTTCTAGTTTTGTGTACCAAACGTTCTGATTTGGAAAGTATGTTTTGTACTAGAAAACTGTGCATTGACTATGTTTCCTATGACTTGACCCATACCTAGTACCCTTATGATGACTTAATGTATACTGAACATATATATCTAGAATCGAATAGATAATAGACTGGGTGAATCCGTTCCAAGCCCACAACCAAACAAGGAACAGGAAATGAAGCGGAGAGCACACATCCTATTATCTGTCGGATCCTATTAATATATATATATATATATATATATATATATATATATATATATATATATATATATCCATTGATGTATGCATTAAGGAGTCATAAGGTTAGCCTTATGGTCCTTTCTACTAAACGTAGCCTTCTACCAAGGCATCTAATGTTATGTATGTTTGTTTCGTGTATGAGTGTGTATTTTCCCAAGTGAGACTATCATTAACTATATAGTTTGTACATTAGTGAATATGTGAAAGGATCACAAAGTAGATGTAATAGGGAAAATAATGTTTTACCTCAGCAGTGACACTGCTGGCTATAAAGTAATAAAATACAGACTCCAGGTGGTATTAAATGTACGATACACCTCTGGGAGTCTTTTTGCCTTTAATCTTTAGTTGGTTAATTAAATGTTTAAATGTGAACTCGTATGTAAGCGGAAGGATATATTGTTATATTTTATCACCTCGTGCCTGCTAGTCCTAGTACATGAAATCGTACCAGTGTCAACGCCAAGCCGGAAAGATATATTATTAAGTTTATCACCTCGTACCTGCTAGTCCTAGCACGTGAAATCGTACCAGTGTCAATGCAAATCCGGAAAGATATATTATTAAGTTTATCACCTCGTACCTGCTAGTCCTAGCACGTGAAATCGTACCAGTGTCAATGCAATGCCGGAAAGATATATTATTAAGTTTATGACCTCGTGCCTGCTAGTCCTAGTACGTGAAATCGTACCAGTGTCAATGCAAAACCGGAAAGATATATTATTAAGTTTATCACCTCGTGTCTGCTAACCCAGATACGTGAAATCAGACTAAAGTTAACGCAAACCGGAAAGATATATTAACGTTTTTCCCGGTACTTAGTGGGGTGTGTTTCTCCATGTACTTGTTATAGTATGTTCCTCTATGTACTTGCTATAGTATGTTCATCTATGTACTTGTTATAGTATGTACTGAACTCTTAAACTATACCTATTATAGTTTACTAGTAACGTGATTGAACTATTGTTGAAAATACTTATTTTACTACTAAGTTATGCTTGTACTTTAAAAACGGAGTTTTGTTAAACTATAAAGTAACATAACTTTAACAGAGTTTTTGAAATTTTTGATAACTTATAAATGACATAAGTAATCCTTTTGAAAATGTTTATAAAAAACAATTACACAATTAACATTGTGTTCAACTTGTATCCCCCCCTTAAAACATTTAAAACAGTTAAAAGATTCGTTACGGGGTATGAACTCACCTTGAGTGGGTGATTCAACGAATATGCGCGTAAGGAAGAGAAGTTCCACGAATGAACTCCCGAGACTTAACGAGTCCTAAATGACATATAATGACATAAATATAGTGTTTAGAAGCAACCAAATGCAAGGAAACACCTTACGGGACTAGGAAACACTTTGTCCAAGTGTTGGAATCACATGTGATTCACTAAAAGGGAGTGTATGGCCACTTTGAGGAGTGTGCGGCCAGGGAGTGTGTGGCCGCACACTCATGGTAAAGAGTGCACAAAACGTTTTCCAAATGGTAGGGAGGCTTGTAGGACTGATGCTCATCAAGTGTTGAAGGTAGAAAGGCACTTTGGAGGCCCTTAAGCACTAAAAAAAGGGGTGTACGGCCACATGGAGTGTGTGCGGTCGCACACTCCTTGAGGAACATGGTTTGGACGTTTTCTAAGGCTTATATCTAGTAAGTAACAAGCTTGGGGAATGGTACTTACAGTATAGAAGCCTTTAGGGGTGTTTTGATGGTGTTTGAGGGGTGTACGGCCACATGAGTGTGTGCGGCCGCACACACCATATGTTCTTGAGTTCTGGGCAGTTTGAAGGACTTAAACTAGTGTTCTAAACAAGATTCAAGTGTAGGGAAGAAGTACTTACGATCCGGAAGCTTGAGAAAGCCCAAAATCGCCAAGAACAAGTGTGTGTTCTTGGTGTTCTTGGTGTTCTTGGTGAATGGATGAAGATTTGAAGATCTAGTCAAAACAAGATTTCCAATGGATGAAATCAAAGGATGTAACTAGTTTATGAATATTAACAACAAATCTATGGAAGAACACTTACCAACTCGAAGATCTAGGCTGCAAATCGGATGATAGTTGAGAGAGAAATCGAGTTCTAGGCTATGGAGAGTGAAAAGGGATGAATGAAGGCTAAACCCCTCTTTTGTACACGTGAGTGTGCTGCCAGGAGAGGGGTGTGCGGCCGTACACTCCTCCTGTTGGAGTGTAAGGTCTGGTTTTTATGCCAGAAGTGTATGCGATCCATTCCTATACTCGAGGCTTGAATGTACCGAGCTTTGAACCTTTAAACAGACTCTAAACAAGGCTAAATGATAGCAGAAATGAGTCTTACACTCATTTGAGTTGACT